TACTTATAGAAAAGTTGCAAAGACGGTACCAAGAGATCCCATGCACCCTTCACCCAGCACCCCCTAATGTCTGCAGCTCCCCTTTGTCAAAACCAAGAAGTATGGGGCTGGGGCTCGGCAGTAGCGCACTTGCCTGGCATGTGTGAGGCACTGGGTTCAGTTCTCAGCACCACATATAAATACATAAATAAAATGAGGATCTATCAACAACTAAAAAAAACTAAAGAAACACAAAGACTAAGTAAACTTCATGGTGCTGTTAATGAAACTCTAGACAGAGATTCATTGGCCTCTCCCTAATAACGTTGTGAGAGTAGAAGCAAATGTGACTCCATTCTGTTTTGTGACTCCATCCTGTAAAACAACCATGCCAAGGAGAGGGGTCGTGACTGGGGCAAGATGCTCTTTTCCTTTTGCTATAGAAACCTTTAAGAACACGGGACTACCTAATGGGGCATTGTTTCTGTAACTAGGGTAACGGGGCTCTGATTCTGTAACTGGGGTGACTGGACTGAGATTGGTTGCACTCTCCTGCTTCTGTCACCTGGCTGGCTTGCATTGGCTGGACCTCCGAACATCCCTTTTGCGGTTTTCAGGCTTGTAAGGAGCGCCCTTGCAATTGTTAGGGGCTGATTAAGGGAACAGCTTTATGTTCTGGTCGGTCACCACTGGTGTGCTTCAATAAAGGCTTGATTCGATTATACATGAGTGGTCTGGATGTCAGTTTAGGAAACCCCGGGACGAAGCTTTAACTATAACAACATGTTGGTTTCCAGGTCCAAACCAGGAACTCCCTGCGCATTTAGAAGAAGATGTCTCCCCAGCCATGAGTACTCACTTTCTCTCTTTCACGAGTTATGTGGGGTTTTAGGGTTTGTTATTTTGTTTTTCAGTACTGGGGACCAGACCCAGGGCCTCATGCATGCTAGGCAAGCACCTACCACCGAGCTGACCCCAGGCCTTCAAGTTGTGCATTCAGTGTCCTTGAAAAATGAGTTCCTAATTAGCTACCAATTAAATCGGCATTCTGTGGATGTTCCAGTTCCCACATAGAAGAAATTCCACCCAATTCTATTGCTTTGAAAGAAAAACGTCCACTCAGCATCTCCAGGGTAGGAGGGGAATTTCTTCTATAGGAAAGTTCTAGTAGTGAATTATTTTAGGCCTCAGATCCTGTGGTCTATGTCAGAACTGCACAACTTAATTCTTGTACCATTTATGGGTTGCAATCGCTGCACAATTCTGTCTTCTGTGCTGGGGTTGGAACCTGGGGACTTCCCTGGGTGAGGCAAGTGCTCCACCACTGAGCTGCCCTGGCCCTGCTGTTGCACTTTGAAAACAGCCGTT